GCATTTAATGGACTGAACGAACTGTCCAGCAGGAACACACGTGTGCACATACTGTAGAACAGGAGAGAGATTATATTCAGAACCTTTACTTCCCTTTTGCCAGTTTACAGTCTGATAACTTTCTATTGTGATGCCCTCTGAGCTGTTTGATTTGTCAAGGTTCCTTACTTTTCCAGGTGCAAGACCTGCCTGACAGTCTGAGCAAAATGTTTGTAGCCAGTAGAAACACACCAGTCTGTGTGTGGAGACATGTTCTGTGTGCTTTATTTGGTTTCTTTTATATTTTCCCTCCACATCTCATTGCCTGTGCAATTCAAACTAAGATTTCTAGATAAGTCTGCTAATTTATGCACATTTAGGACTTTCTTCCTTTAATAAAACTGTGTCTGTAGGATTGACGCATTAAAAATAAGGAACATTTTAAATCATGCAGGAGGACATCCCTTAATTGCAACAAGAAGCAATTCAAGGATTTTCCAAGGAAGTGGTGCAACATAGATAAGATAAGATATGCCTTTATTTATCTCACAGTGGAGAAATTCACATTGTTGATAGCAGCATTAAACAGAGGTACACATATACGAGACAGAAAAAATAAAAATAAAAAATGTACATATAGATATAAGAAATAGTGCAAACAAGGAGAATAGTGCAAACAGAATGTGAATAGATGCTATATTTTAGGATTAATTCGCTGAAATGTGCTTTTGGGGCATCGTACAGCTTTAAAGCTGCACCAGGTCGTACATAAATACAAAAGACTTGCAAATAATTTAGAAGAAATACTAGAAAGTCACCGCTTTAAAAATCTTAATGAAATGAGAGTTTGAAACAGCCAAAGTTGCTCAGATAGCTGCTGAAACAGGACCAGGAAGAACACTAACCTGATGAAAGCTGCACACTGCGGCCCGTGCTGCAGCCTTAAACTTGCGAGGAGAGTACTGCCAGGCTGTCTAGTAGCTGGAAGGGGTCAGAGGTCAAAGCAGGAGCCGTGGCATGACGCGACCTTTGGAGGGGGGTTTCCTCGGCTGCAAGGAAACACAAAGAGTCAGAGGTCACATGCAAGATTATTAGAACACTATGTGGGGCTCTGAGTGGGGGGATTTGCGGCCGGTCTATTAGCGTGGAGAAGCCCTGAGGAGGAGGCCCAGCAGTGTTTGGGGACATATTAGCTTGTAGTTTATTTATTTATAGCCACACTAGACGTAAAACCCGAAAAGATTAATGTCACTTAGTGGGTCTGTCAGTCCAATGCTTTGATCCAGAGTGAAATAAGTATGAGCTGGATTAACATGAGATTTGGTTCTGGTTTTTGTGGAACTTTAAGATTAATGGTAACACAGAAGACTAATTATGCAGATTATCAGTGTGTAATTCACACTATTAATGTAGGATGCAGGATTAACACAGTGGCACCAACAAATGCAGAGTCAAGTTTGACAATAGAGAATAACTGTACAGGAGAAATGGTCCTATTTGATGGAATCCTGACAACAAACTATATATTTCTAATCCACTCATGTTAAAATAGTCTGACTTACTGAACATAGACTGAGGGTATAAGCCGGCTACTGGCTGCACATTTCATTCAGCTTTATTCTCACCTTCTGATTTCTGCTTGTTTGCATTTTAAAATCCCGTTCACTACAGGAAACAACAACAAAAACCTCCAGCTAGCAATCTACCTCACCTAAAATTTCAAGTTCAGTATTGGATTTCATGTGTAACAAGGCAGCCCTGTTCATTTTTTTCCAGCCATTTTAATGACAGCACTCGCCTCCCTGTTCTGTTAAAACACTTCCTCCTGCTACTTTTTTGAGGGGACACCATTGCTGCACACTTTTCTCAGCTTCATCCAACTTACTGATTAGTTTAAAGAACTACAAACAAGCTAGAGAGTTTCTTTCACTTATAGCAGCATTACGATGAGGTGTAGCGAGACCATCCTGTGCCTCTGGAAGATCTGGTGATGCAGTACTAGGAGATGAACAGCTGGTTAGCAATTTACTTCTAATGTGCAGCACTTGTAAGCTATATATTACATGTATTGTTCCACAAAATCAATGGAAGCACTTCTCACACGAGCAGCATGACGTTGGCGTGCAGTGAGTTTGCAGCATCATTTGACATGTGACTAACTCTCTGTTGTGCTTGACCTCAAATGAATTATAAATCATACGCTGCTTCTGTGTTGTAGCGTGTTTACTGTCCCCTTGATGGAAACACTGAAGTATAGCGTGGAACTGCAACTACAGTCAGCATGGGCAACACTGCTGTTTTCAAATGTGCTGTTCCAGCTCTGAAAGACAGCAGCTAAACATATCAGCTGCATTTCACGGCATTTTTCCTGTTACAATAGATCAGTTTGTGTCTTGTCATGGCTTGCTGCTAATTCTGCACAAACAGCACCACCTTCACCAAAAGCAGTGAGTGAATTTTTTTTTTCACATCCTCGCAATCTGAAAACCCATTGTGACCAAACTACACCACTTAGACTGTCAGACGGCATAAACAGTGGTCTGTATTTTTGTCCTCACTAGAGGCAGCATCAGTGTTAGGTACAGGCTTCTTAGTAATAGGTCTGTCAAGTATGGTTCCTGCAAAACAAACACCTGCTGCTCTTCTGACAGGTCTGAAAACACATTACAGTTGTTTCTGGCTTTAAGGTTCAACCTGAGACTGTTTTTGGTTCTCAGGGACTCTCACATAAATAACCAGTCTCAGCTGTAGTTTACTTTCCCTGTGATGTTTGATTGAATTTAGTTTCTTCGTGTGTGATGTGGAGGTGGTTGAGAAAATAGAAAGCAGACTACAGGACAGAAGACTGTTCTAGATGTTGTTTTACCTTCAGTGTTGCAGCACAGATTTAATGCTGCAAGAAATGGTCGAATGGAAGCGATAACATGAAATGTACATTTGGAAATATCATAAAAATGTCTTTTCATTGTGTTTTAGTGATTAAATTGGGTGTTGTCACAGATATAGTCGTTTGGATGTTGTGCTTACAACTTTGCTGTCATCTCATGGTTGCAACATTACCTACAGCACTTGAAGGCAGCGCTACCGTGACTCAAACGAAGAGAGCCACTGCGCATGCTCCGAGCATCCTCCACCCGGTCGGCATGGTGAGATTCGTTGCTGAGGAGGTGCTGGTGCATAGAAAAATCCTCTTTCTACCGCATTTTTTGTAGAGCAAATGTCCGGGTAGAGCAGAGTATGTGGAGACTTTGTGACTCTGCAGGATGTCTGTCTTCCCTCCTCCTCCTCCTCCTCCTCCTCCTCCTCCGCTGCTCTCCGGCTGGGAGGAGGGGGATACCTTAAGGAGGAGGGAGTGGGAGTGGATGCAGCCTTATCAATAGCAGGTTGCCTCAGATGATCCAGTTCAAACTAGTTCTGCTTTACATATGCGACTGTGGCTCTGAGAGGTTGCACACTTCCACAAAGAGCTGCAGACCGAGAACCAAAACGCGTTTTTATGTGTTCTCTGGGTTCCAATGAAAGTATTTACTCTGGTAGTTATGGTGCCAAAGAAAATCTGACAGGATATTAACTTAGATAGCACGTTTTAATGGTATAGATTAAACTTTATTTGAACATTTTGCACTACTATGGGCACAGATCTTATTGTTTTCCAGCTGCATCCAACTGTATGGCATCCTTACAGCACCATTATTTTTACTCATCTTTGATGCGTAAAGAAACGTGTCTTTATGTGTAAATGACAGCATCTTGTTCATTAACTAAAGCTGTCAAACAACCTGTACACGTATAACTTAAGCCTTTTTTTTGTTCACCGCAGCTTAATTCTGGATAGTAATAGTGAAATGCAGGGAGTGCTGGCGAACAACAAAGAACCGGCATCACCATCACCGCCACCTCGCTCGTGCGTAAAAAGCATTTGTATTGTGGTTGCTGGTGCTTCGGGCGCGACAAGTCGCCAACAGATAGGCTAATGGGAGGTTTCAAATGCGCAGTAAGGCGAGATATAATCTCCATGTTGGGAGTGATGTATGACAGGAGCAGGGTGACAAAGCGAAGGGAAGCCGTGGAGGAATCACTGCAGTGCAGCAGAGCTGTCAGTCAACCGGCAGAGGAGGCTGCACACAGCCCACTGTTAGTCTGGATTGTGCAGCCCAGACATTAGGACTGAATCTAAATCACCCCAGTGTCGTTTTATTGTCGAATTATATCAGTATATACGTTCACATACATCACATCAGCGTCTTTCCATCTCCGCATTATCGCAGCAGACTTTTCATCTGCGCAACAGCGGTGATGTCTGTCGATGTGTTGCATTTAGGAGCTCTGCCAGATTCAGTTCGACTATTTTCCCTTCAGATTTAATCATTCTAAATGATTCTGCTTAAATCTTAAAATCAGAAACACCATAAAAGCTTTTTTCTAATGATCTGCACTCGCCCTGTTACTAGGATTCCCTCCTGTTTGACGCATCGCCCCCGCTTTACCTTGCGCCTTTGTGCTGCAAACTGCATCCTTACAGCCACGGTATGTGAACAAACCGGGGATCCTCCACACTGTAAGACATTATGAAGACAAACCTGCTCAGAAACAACCTCTCTACGCATCTCGCCTTCGCACCCCTCCTCATGGGCCCACTTTCTCAAAATACACACTTCGCCGGCACACATAAGCCTGTTCAGATGCAGCGAGAAAGAGTGAGTCTGTCTCTCCCTCCTCCCTCGTCCATCAGCATCTAACGGCGCAGCGCATCCACCAATCTGCGCAGCGAGAGGATCACCCCAACCCCTGAACCCGCATCTACCCGCCCTGCTCGCTTATAAATACTGCTTGAATCACACCGGCAAGTCTTGGTCTTCAGAAACGCTCAGGGTTGCAGCAGAACATCCCCCTTTCGTCTTATCCCCCCTTCATCGTTTCGCTGTTTTTTAAGAGAACCTCACCGCATCATCCATTTTCACTCATTCCTCCCCATTTTTATTTTTTTCTGAACTGTAGTTGTGTTTTTTGCGGCCAGTTGCATGCATTTTTCGTCTCCCAAAATGGTTTGCGAGACTAAAATTGTTGCGGACGAACACGATGCTATACCTGGGACCAAAAAAGAGTCGATCATGTGGAGCTCTCCTCCGTCCAGCGCGGCTCTAAACCCCGCCGAGGCCAAGGATGTGAGGAAAGATGCGGTTTTCATCCGCGAGTTCGAACTCGGGGATCAGGAGGAGGTGCGGCGCATCTTTTACGAGGGTATTATGGAGAGGATACCCAATACGGCGTTTAGGGGGCTCAGACAGCAGCCCAAGACCCAGTTTTTATACGCTCTTCTGACAGGTAAGTACCCTCAGCACTTTGCATCAGAGCCGAGTATGCTTCCAGCTCACTTTTCTAATGCTATCAAAAACTTAAATATAAGATTAATTGTGCAGTTTATTTTTCTCCAAGCTCAGATCATGTTGTAGGCTGAGGTCTCTGTTGCGCTTTCTTCTGATGTCTGCATCCTAAAGTGATTTATTTGAGGAATTTGTCTTAAATCCCTCCCAAACCGAATGTTTCTCTGCACTATCTGGCCCTGTAGGCGATGTACAGTTAAGTTGAAATTTGTTGCAGCCCTACACGGTGCCAACGCGGCTCCCCCTCTTTTTTTTCTCTCTCCTCGCCGGCACACCGGCATGTTGCTCATCATGCAACAAAAGGCATGGCAGGCGCATGGTGCATGTGTATAACCGGCGGGGCCTGCTGATGATGTGATGACATGCCGGTGCCGTGAATGAATGAGTGAATGAATTTGAAGGATTGGCCCACAGGGTGCGCGCACGTACCCAAATAAGCACTCCCCGGCGCGCACATCCCAACACACACATTAAAAATCCCCCCGCGGCGCGCACACGCACCGTGCCGGCGCTCCCTCCCTCTCCTCCCTCTCCTCCGCCTCTGCACAGCAGCCAATGCGCCAGTCGTGCACTGATCTCGTTTGGCTTTTGTTGATGTTGCCGGTGTCGGTTAGAGCCTCGTGCATCGTGACCGGTTACCGTTACGCACGTTAAAGTCGCACACGCTGTCCTACACCAAATATCTATCCGGTTCTGGTAAATAAAATTTGATTGCAGTGTTGGCGTTAATTCAACTAAATGTAAGCCACAACATTCCTCATAGTGCTGCCTGTAAAACACCCAGACAGACCTGACTTCACTGGGCTTTGTCGATTTTTTTTTTAATTCTGCGGAATTGAACGACAATTCATCACCCTCTACATTCCATGTGTTCCGCCACGCTGGGATGCTGAGGAGTGAACTATTACTAGATTATTGCATGCCACGCAACATGCTATGCGCAGCATCCATCCTGCTTGTTTCTGTTTCCCGTTGCGCCCCCCAGCGTTACATCTGACTTATAACTCCAATATGGATTGCACTGGTTTGGTGAATTCAAGACTAACGTGCTCTCTAATGAAAATCTACCAGAAAAACTGTCACCATTGTGCCCCTGCAGCTTTACTAATGTGCCTTACTTCACAGTCTCATGAATGCCGGTTTGTGTGAAAAAAATCTCTCTTGATCAAAATATTATTATTCTGACACAATCTGATGCAACTGTTTCACTTATTGATGCTTAGAAATGTCATATTGCTTGTGTCTTTTTTGTTTTTCTTCTTCTGTGTCTATGTGGGGTCAAATTCTGCCAAAATCAAACATGTGATTCTCTTTTCTGACAGGTTTCGTTTATTTTTCTTCCATTTCTCCATAGTAATGTGCTTTTACGTGACCAAATCCGTCACGCTGACCTGCTGTGCACCTCTCATTCTCATGGGTGCGCGCTACTACTACAGCAGAAAAGTTATCCAGAGTTATCTGGACTGTGCTCTGCACACGGACATGGCTGACATAGAGGCTTATTACATGAAACCCACAGGTAAGATGCAGGAGGAACCTCACTGTTCTCACTGAGTCATGACACATACATGTGCACTTTGTCAGCTGACAATGCTCCACCGCAGTGCTTTACAAACCAATCAGGAGGATTGATAAAGGTACAACAACTATTGATGCTTCTAAAAGTTAGGGATGTAACTTTGTCACAGCAGAAAGGATAAAAGACAAAAACCCAACATGAAAGGCAGTGTGACTGACACTTTGAAAACATGGCTGGGTCTTCAGGCAGTGCAGAGGCAAATCATCAAATATGCAGGTCGACTCTCTGCTTTCCTTCTCCCTCTTTCCCACCCCTCCTCCCTAGGTCTTTCTCCACGCCTTCCCCCACTTGCTTCCTCTCCGAGCTCCGCTTGGCCACTGGGGTGGGGGTGGGTGGGGGCATCACAGGGCTATTGATCGCATAGAGGAGACTGCTGATACACTTTGTGCAGCACACTCAGTGTCGGCAAGGCTCATTTCCTCTACTAAAGTTTTTAATTGGAAAAAATCAATTTGCCTCTGGTGTCATCTCAAACTATTTATGCTCCTCAGGAGTTCCAGTCCGGGTGTGAGCGATCGCCATCCACAAACACGCGACGCATTTTCACACGTTCTCCTGCCGTGTAACTTCTTGGACACATTTATCTCCTGTTAACCCAAACCACGTGGACAATATAAAAAGCAGGTGTTAGTTAATCCAGTCAATTGCCTCCCATTGTCTGCTTCTCTCTGACATTGTACCCTCTGGCTTGGTAATCCACTGCACACACAACTGCAATTTAGCATTCCCATTATTGCTGCTGGGCTGTGATGGTTTAGAGGGGGTCAGGCACCACTGCTCTTGGACAATGCTAATGATTATAGCCATGCGAACTGAATGGGCCCAGGGGGATGAACACCTGGGTACCAACGTGCAGTCCTGATGGAGAGGCACCACTGATGTCACTGTCATTTGTTATACTACTTCTGTTGCTTTGTGCACAGAAAAGTGGGCACGAATCATGAGTGTACAGAATGAAACTTTTGGCTCATAGTAGAGAACTTATTGAACTTAAAGGCCCTAAAAATCTTATTTTTTTTTACAAGAAGTTCATGTTTTGCTCACATTAAGGCCTGGGGCTGGTTAGAAAAAGGTGTATTTAGGTGTAATAGGGGCCTGAATGATACCAGATTTCTGGGGCTGATACAGATTTTTAGGGAGTTAAACATTTCTACGATGATAGTTTCCCCAATATGCTTTATATACATCTACATATATATGCTAGAATCATATTTAGAAGGTAAAATGATGGGTTGATTTATAAATTTTTCCAGCAAACTCTTTTTGAAAACTAGTTAACTTAGCTAGATAGTTACATATTGCTCGACTCCACACTATTATCTGCTTAGCTGCGATACGTACTCTGCTACATGTGCTGCACACAAGGCTGGTTATGGTGAACAATGGAGTCAGAGCTGCTCCGCTGGGCAAACTATGCGATGAAACCATTTCAAAGTTACGTCAGACATCTTTTTCCTCCATTATACTTTGTGAAAAAAATAAAAATATATTGGCACATATCAGACAACATATACCAATATATAGCCAATAAAACCGATATATTGCTCCGGCCCTTGCTCTAATGCACTTCAGTGCTCCAGAATTCAGCAACAGTTAAAATGACAATCTGACAACTGCTGTGAGGTTGTTTGCTTTTACAAACAACTAAAATCAATCAAACCATGCTGAGTTTTTGATTGTTAAACCACAAACTGAATTCAACTGTTCAGGGCTTTTGCGGCTACCTTTTCAAAAGTTCAGTGGGAAAATGTCTCCAGAATCAACTGGGAAATCCTTCTCCCACCTTTTATCTGGATAGCGGTAGAAAATAGCATCAGAATAAGTCATGAGAAAATGTCTGACTGTGATACGCCTGAGTGTGGGGAAGAAAATCAGCTTGAATCAGATACTAAGGGCTACTTGACAACCAAAAAAAAAAACCCAGCACCTCTGTGCAATTTGGCTCTGCACATAAGCTTCTGTTACTCCAAGTAGCTAATGTGTGTGTGTGGGAGGGTTTGAGAGGGAATGTTTGGGAGTTTGCTGCATGTGTTGAAGATGACATAAAAAAAGAACATCTTTGAGGATATGAAATAAGAAGTGGTAGAGTGTATGTGGGTGCATACGTGATGTGTCCTCCTGTGTGTTTTGGATGTATGAGGCCAAATATTCTGGAATTTAATTCAGTGGTTCACAAAATGTGGATCCTTCTTTCAGCAGTAAATCAAATTCAAGGAGAAACTCTGCTTTGCATGTAGTGGGGAAGGAAGATATAAGAAAGGAAATGACATATATTCTGACAGTTGACGGCAACGTGTGTTGAATAAACTCAAATAAGCAGACACTGCCCACGGGGTGATAGAAGACAACAGACTGACCGAAGCCACATATCCCTCTCCACATGCCACAAGTACGACAATCAATACTCTTATCGTCTGTGTGTGTTGTGATCAGTCACTCTGCTGCCTCTTATGGCCAGCTGTCACCTCTTTCATTTGACCTGTAATAAAGTGTGTGTAGGCGGACAGGCTGTAAAGCAAATTAAAGTAACAAAGGCTGGTAGTATAAATAGATACGGCTGCATAAAACCAACAAAATAAAAGATGAAAAACTTGTTTCTGCCGATATGGCGAGATTCTTGTACACAAATTGGTCCATATTGAATTTAATATTCAAATCAGAGGTTTAAATTAAGTTGAAACGTTTAAAAAGCGTCGTAGCTGAATTGACTTTGAGTCAAGCTGAGCTGGAAAAGAGCGCAGAAGGATTCGAAAGTCTTAATTTCTAAAAGTTAATTCGTCAAATTCAACAGCTCAATAAGTGCTTGACAATGTGAAAGTGATGCAATTAAAATACAACAGCTGCTGGCACAAATCTCTTTGTACGTTCTGACTCCTCCTCATCTTTCCCCGTCCTTCCTCGGCAGCAACAAACCATTAATGAGTCAATCAGGAAATCAATAAATGTCCACCAATCGTGCGTTTACAACTGCGCAGCAAAGAAACTGTAAATGAAGACAGAAGACTCGAATCAACACAAAGGATTTGTCTCACAGAACAGCACAGCGACATGCAAAGTGACTTATTTATCAGCGAGCCTTCATCCTCCAGCAGCTCGCGCTGCATTTATCTCATCACTGCGTGCGCCTGCAGTGGAACAATATTCACATTTATTAAACTATGTGGGTGGCTGTGTTTTTAGATAAAGAGGGGAGCGTGCATGTAAGGTTCAAGAGTGAGGCGAGAGAAACGAGCTCCTCAGAAACACCTGTTTGGAAGTAAACTCCCATTTCATGACCTTTAAAAACAAAAAAATTGAAAGATAAACCTGAGCTGATGCTAGTTTTTGATCGCAGAGCAGCCATTTTGTTTGAACTGGCCAAACTGGAAGAAACTACTAAACTTTTAGCGAATAAACATCTATGTGTGGACAATAATCTACTTTATATTTCAATAGCTTTTCATCTCATCCAGACGTAAACAGATTTTTGAAAACTTTAGATTCTTGCCTTGTGTACTGCAACACACAAGTAAGTTATAACTATCTTGAGGTGCTAAGACATCATTATTTCTTCCTCTTTCAAGAACTTTAAGCGAGACTAAACTTTTTTAGTCTTCCTCTGACAACAACGCTTCGCCGAAATGGCAACAAACACTCGCTTTATGAATGCAGTCGCTTGTCGTGCCTTTACTGCTCATTTGCATTACATCTGTATTGTCTGACTGGCTCACGTCAACACAAATCTCATTAAGCAGTGTTCAGATGGCGGCTCGGCCTTTCCGTAAACCCACAGAGCCCCCAAACAGACAAAAATCTAGTTATATTCTAACCAGTTTTTCCTGAGATGAGAGCCCAGCGTTAAATACCAGGAGATGGAGGTCTCCCTTTATGTTCAAGAAGTAGTCGTATCACTTACTCTTTACTTGTAGGTCAGCGTAAAGCCGCTTACTGCCTAAAAAGCGAATATAATATAATGAGGTTTTGACTAGACACTGAGCCAAACCCTCCCTGGCTACAAGTGATACCCACTCAGTAACACTGGCTGCTTAATGAGGCGTCATGACCACTGCAGGGTCTCATCAAGGCAGGAGACATTATAATACCTCCCGGTCGTTGTGGCTCTCTGTGCATGTGCTGTATATTTGTGTGTGTGTGTGTGTGTGTGGGGGGTGAGTTTGAGCTCGTTCTGTTCCAGGGGAGGGAGCAGCTTCCTCCGCCGGTACCTGCTGTGCTTATTTTAGCTCCAAACGACAGAATGAGGGAGACAGACAGAGAGAGAGAGGGATAATGTGAGAAGGGAGGGAAGGAGGTGAGCGCTAGATAGGAAACGGGGGCATCTGAGGGGGGGTGTTCTGAAATATAACATATTGAATATGTGCGAGGAAGAAAATCAAGAGCTTTGCAGATAGACAAAGGGATCTCCTGGGAGATCTTTCTGACTTGTCAGCTGAAGCATTTCAGATTAATAAAGCATGCTTCTTTCTTAGCTCCCCACTTCTTTCCCTCCCTCTTGTTGCAATTTAAGCCACGGTATTTTTTTCTCTCCCCCACCTGTATCGCTCCTCCTCCTCCTCTTCCTCGCTATATTTCATCTGAGCTGAAGGTGCAGAGGAGGCGCTGCTGCAGCCTACCGGGTTATCCATCATTCTGGCACAGAGGAAGCAAAGTTTCCTCCCAGCAAAGGAAGCAGCCTTCTCTCAAAAACTACAACAAAAAAAAAAACAGAAAATACAATTCAGTATTCAATTGTTTTTTTTGTCAGCTGCTACAAACAGTTTTCGTAAACAAATACCAACAAAACTAGAATCTATTGTAGCTGATTTTACAACTGGAGAGGTTTAGTTAATGCTGATGCAGAACAAAACAGCAGCAGTTAGGTTTATTCATTATTTTAATAATCAATCCTTTAAGTCAGGATTTGCTGTTTTATTTGGTTTTACACACAAATTTAATATCATATGGAAGGTTTTGCCTCATTAGTTGGACAAAACCAAACTTAATTTATAAAGTATGATTGAAATTTTCACAGTTTTTTCAACATTTTAAAACCTAATCAATTAATCGTGAACCACATTACAAACACCATCCCAAACCTTTTTGTTCCACTCAGGAAACGCATCCTTTCCCTGACAGCTGATTCAAACTCTTAAAACCACGTCATAACATTCACCACGAGGTTTAATCCACCGTACATATGCTGAGAAAGTGACGCTCTCACTTGTCCATTACTGTCGCTGCACACTGCAAGTACATGAGTGTGCGTATCGTCTCTATTCATGGCTTTGATTAAGTGCTGGCCATCATTAATAATGCATTGTAATCTCACTACCTTCAGCCTTTGTTTCACATTCTGCTGAAATCAATGCCGAACAAAAGGCGCTCATTGGAGGGACCGGAATACGTCTCAACAGCGGCCTCATTAATTGCCGCATTGTGCGTTTTTTTCGCTATCTAGACTCTCTGGAGACTAATCACAAGGATTTATCATCACAGAAAAGCAGTTTTACAGCCTGATATTGATAAGCGAGTGAT